GCCGCCTTCGCTCTCAGCGCCGGCAGAGACGCCTGATAACTCACAGCTGCCAAAACCGCCGGGTCAAGCACGTTATCCGCCTCCACGATGACGCTCTCGAAGCGCATCTCGTCCTCGAAGTTGGCCTGCACCCAGGCCGCGTCCCGCCGCACGTGCGAGTCGCGCGGCATGAACAGCTCCACATCGTTTAGCTCTTCGTGCCACAGCAGCAAGCCGAACGACGCGGCCAGGCAGGCGGCGAGGGAGCCGCACAGGGCCTTCAGAGGATGGGTGCCCAAGCACAGGCCCAACCTGCAACACGCCATACCATACTATTAACCGTCCCCTTTACTTCATTTCCATTTTCTATCTCTATCACCTCAACGACAAAGCTACTTATGTATTCTGAACTGCAAAAAATCGTTTTCAAGGCTAAATTCTGAAACGACGCTTACTGATTTAGCTGAGTTTTGGATTTATACTAGAAAGGATGAAGAAATGTCTCACGACTTTTCTATCGAAACTTCTAAAGCAAATGAACAGCCCTTGAAAGGCGGGGCCTTAAAAGTTGTTACTTCGCAAAAGAAAATGCAAACCAATTTCCTTGCTTCACACTTTTAAACCTTCACTCATAACGCAATTTGCCGCTCTCAATATGGTCTGTGGTTTTTAAAGTGGGTATATTGCGATAATTCAAACATTAGATCGTGTAATATGACATACTTTTAACACAGCGTGCGCAAAACAGTGTTTTAATGACAGTTCAAAAGAGGCAGAAAAAGGCAGCGGTAGAGAGACTGACGGACAAGCGCTTGATCAACACGCGCTTCTCCTATAGTGATAACTTACACTATGCCAGCAAGAAAGCAGCGGTGGTGAATACTGTGTGGTCTAGGTTAATACCGAACACTGAAGGGCCTAACCATGAAAAGAGAAAACTGCTTGCTTCGGTTGTCATATCCGTTCTGCTCCATGGATGCCCAATTCGGGTCAGAAAAGAAGGGAAAGGGTGGGGGTGGGGAGAAAAGGAGGGAAGGGGGGGATACTGATTACACTCTGCTATTGGCAAGATCGAATAAATATGTCCTGTGACAGTACTCCACTATCCGCCATGTAATGCTCGTAGGTGCTTCCGCGGGGAGAATGGGAAACAATGGAGGTTTGGTATTAGTGATTAAAAATCTCACGCTGGGTAGCACGGACTACCCAGCGTCTATTGAAGTTATCCACCTACTTTCGTAAACATACACACACATACACACATACACACACACACACAAACACACACACACACACAAACACACACACTAAAGCCATTAAGATTAGTAAGTGTCGTTGCTGGAGAGAAGTAGGGGAGGAGGTAGATGCTGATCCCTGGGGACGCCCGTATAAGCTGGTAACGGCCAGACTCAGGG